ACTGGGGCATCCTAGATCGAGCTGGCAAGGATGGAAACCTTGGGCTTCCCCGGTGATCTACTCCTCTGGGCTTCCCCGGTGACCTGAAGCATGCTCAACACAGCCGTATCTTGTACCCAGAAGCACAAGGAGTAACGCAGAATATGAGGGTAAGAAAAGCAAGCAGCATAACTCACAGGAGTCATTCCCCATACGTAGGGGGACAAGATCCTGAAAAACAGGGGAATAACTTGGAAAAAACAGAAAGGTACTAGAAAGACCTGTAGCCTCATTGGGCCAATTGACCTACAATAAATATTGTGCTTCCAACCATCTGGGAATACAGCACAAACAGAACAGAAGAAGTCCTGCAATATTAAAAAAGAAAATATGTACAAGCCCACTGTACAGAATGGAATGTCTTAGATTTTACCAGAACAGTAAATGTTAATGTTGATTTCACAGCTCTATCTTCTGGTAAATATATTATTTCAGGTGAAGAAGAATATATGAGTGGGATGAGCAGAGGAATGCAGGGCCTGTCCTTGTTTATAAGGGGGCTGTGGTGAGAAGTATTCCACATGAAGGAAGGGTCAAACACCGACAGGGTAAACTGGGTAATTCCTGTTAAAATATGGAATGACCCCCATATTCGTCACATGTATTAGTGCCAAGATCTTCTAAGGAGGGCATGAGGGTTACAATCCAATGTGTTTACATTTACTGTAAAGTACAAATGGTGATCAAAACACTATGAGGAAATTCCCTTACATGTAGAACATTATACCTTTCTCATATTCGGAAGAAGTTTACCTGTGCTCTGGGATACGTTCAGCAGTTTTGGCATCGCCTGCAGTATTCTGATATCTCTGCACACTCACAAATAGAGTTCGGCACCAGGAAGTTTGTAATGCTCTGGGTATAAGCAAAGAAACGGTGGTTACTTAAAATAATCCAACTAACTGCACATTGAAGGTGAAATGCAAAGTATAGATATTGTTACACATTCTTCACAAGAATTGTTCTGGGTAATATCCTCCCCACACACATGAAACAATTATAATATGTGAGAAAAAAAAGGTAGAAAAGGGCTAATACAATAATCCTCAAATGACCATCCAGAGCCAAAAAGGACCTTGCAGGGCATGATGGAAAGAGAATTCAGTGCAGGAAAATCGCTAGCTACAGCTCGGGGTATACTGAGACACCGCAGCCATAGCAGATCCCGACATCGATGTGAGATCCGCCCAGCTGCGTGAGTGACAGTTGGCTCTGCCTATCTAGAGGCAGAGCCAGCTGTACCCGCCCCCTCCCCCGTCTGTTCCGCCAGTCAGCACTGGCGGATCGGAGCGGGGAATCCAGCCCCTCCCCCGTCACGGCAGAGAGCCGTGACAGGATCGAGAGGTGAGCGAACGCCGGTATATGTTCGCTCACCTCCCGATCTACTGAGCCGACCTGTGACAGTCTCATTGTCACAGGTCGGCTAGAACTATGAGGTGAGTGAAAAGCACTCACCTCATAGTTCTCCTTTAAAGTCAAAAGAATTTTAAGCTATTTTAAATGCTGACAAAATCACTTACAATGGATGCTGCTTTTTGATGTTTAAAAGTTTTAGTTTCCTGCAGAATCAGCTGGTCCTCTGAGCACTGGTCCTGATATCCTGTTTTAGAGTGACACCTTTTTTAAGCAGACTGCTATGCAGTCACCCTTGTGTGTGTTAGGTAGCTGTGTGTGTGTCCACAAACACAAAGACACAGCAAATCAACCTTTTCCCCTCCCCCCTGGCCCTTTCTTCTCCCTCCACTCTACAACAAGCTATTAGATGAACAGTTGCTGGAGTCTGCACTGTCCCTTGCGATCTTGTACTGGGCAGGAAGTTAAGGGAAGCTGAGCGGAGAGACCTGGAAGCAGCTGTTCAGAAACATGATGACTGTCAGGGCATGGGTAAAAAAGTAAAGCAATGCTTTGCTGAGCAATGTATATATGTTTCATCTGGATTCATTACTAATAAAGCATTTGAGAGTGTAATACTACTTTAAACATCTGTGAATTCTGTATATACAAATAATATTTGCTGTGTTAAACATTTGCCTTCTTTCCCCTTCCAGTTATCTTAATTGCGTGGCCTTGCCCAGCACAAAGCCCCTAGGCTTTTAGTTCTTTGACCACCAAAGAAAACCTGGAGCAGCCAACAATCTTGATACATAGCGTTAAAATATTATTAAACTCTCACACATCTCGAGAGTAATACATTCTGATGAGCAAAATGATCCTCCCCCAATAATTTGTTTATATTTATGCCCAATGACTCACAGTTTATTACAAAGCCCACATCCTCCTACTTCAGTGCTGCTTCCCCCAGAACGTCCTATCCGGGAGAGAGCACACACAGCTATCTCACATGGGGACGGTCCCATAGGACGGCAGGGTCTCCAGGTGCTGTCAATCAATTGGTGTGGAGGTGGAAGGAGAGGGGAGCATGGGCGTGGCTTCGGTGCTGAGCGTTTGGGCTGAAGCACACAGTGCAGGGACTGTAATCCGGGAGCACACACACAAGGGTGGCTCCATACAACCCGGAGAAGCAGTGGAGACACCCTAAAACAGTGTGCAGCAGTGTGCTTGTGACGGCTCAATGATGAAGACATGCAAGATGTCAAAGAAGATAAAGCAGCAGATCAGGTAAGTACTAATGTCAGCTGCTGTAACAGGTAAAGAAAAACTCTTGCAGTGGGGCTACCCCATGTACTCCAAGGGTTAATTGCCTGTGTCAGTCACGTCTTTTTGTAGATGCTAAAAAATAAAAACTCCCAAGCTGACTCCCTGCCTCTCCGCTCACTGTTGCACAGATGGAATGTTCCTCAGTGCCCTCACGTCTATATACTTGTATCACACAACTATTCTTAGACCGCTGGAGAGAGAGGCTCTAGGGACCAAATGATCGGGTGAGTATAACTTTTTTTTTTTTTTAACGCCTAGACACAAAGGAGCAGTTAACCCTTGCAGTGCAGATATAGCCCCACTGCGAGGGTTAATAAACGTTTTCCCGGAGTTGTTCTTTAATGGCAGGGTTTAAAAACACTTGAAATCTTGGTCTCTATCCAGGGAGCATTTCCTGCTTGTTGTAGAAGTGACAATGTATAACCATAAAATGGGCACAAATGATTCGAGTTGAGCCCACAATGCAATATTATAAACTTGACTTTACATTCTTGTTTCTATTCTATAGTCAGATCTGGTTATGTATTGAAGGTGGAATCCTCCAGTGACATCAGCCCCTCTCCCACCACCCACAGGACCTCCCTGTGTATTGCCTATGTCCATACACAGATGGACTACAATCTCAATACAAGTTAGAAAACGAAACGTGAGATTGTAGTCCATCACAGGAGTGAGCTTGGAGCGGTGACCATTTTACAACACACACAGGGACCATGGGGAACAAAAGTAGCCACCCTCCAGAAGGAAGGACAGTGTCGGCACCAGTTCAGAGATGATTTGCGGATCTACAGCCGAGTGATACACAAATAAGATACATTGTTATTATTAAAGAGGAACTTTACCCATAACTTCAAAATAACAAGCAAGGCACCTTTAGAAATGTTTAGTAATGACAATCTATAAACACATACTTCTAGATAATTGCCGACTTTGTATACCTTATTTCTCTTTTCTTTCCCAGTCTGACAGTGGCTATTTAAACTCAGGGCAGGGTATACCTCCCTCTACTTCCTGGAACTCTGGCACATGTGACCATGCACATCATCTCAGGGGAAGAAATTGCCTTTCCCTGAGCTCTCATGAGATTACAAATGAGATGTCCCAGCAATGCTCTGCTGATGTAACCTTCCCAGGATTCAACGCTTGGGCACGATTACATCATTTGTGCCCAAGTGGACCAGGAAGTGGAAAAAAAATATTTTTTTAAAGTAAAATATAAAAAATATGACAGATGATTTCCTATCGGCATGCAGAGCTGTATGCTCATGTGATTTTTAGTAAAAGTGGGTGAAGGTCTGCTTTAAAAAGGTACTTCATGCATTGTTAAAGGAGAACTATGAGGCGAGTGCTTTTCACTCACCTCATAGTTCTAGCCGACCTGTGACAATGAGACTGTCACAGGTCGGCTCAGTAGATCGGGAAGTGAGCGAACACATACCGGCGTTCACTCACCTCTCGCTGCAGAGAGCCGTGACAGGATTCCCCCCTCCCCGCTCCGATCCTCCAGCGCTGACTGGCGGAACAGACGGGGGAGGGGGCGGGTACAGCTGGCTCTGCCTCTAGATAGCTGTCACTCACGCAGCTGGGTGGATCCAGACATAATTGTCGGTATCCGTTTCAGCTGCGGCATCTCAGTATACAGCGAGCTGTAGCTCGCGGTATACTGAGCTTTGGGTGACAGGAGGACGCTAGTTTGTGTCCTCCCGTTACCCTTAGGAGAATTATGGGGAAAAGCCCTGACCCCATAGTTCTCCTTTTAAGATTTAAGTGTCACTTGTAATCTGAATGGTTCATAGCGATCACAAGGTACAGAGCCACTCAGTTTCACTCTGCACATCATGGTTGTGATTTGAACTGTCCAATGACAGCCTCTCATGGGTGCACTGGCTGCTCATGCGCATTTCTTGAAATACTGTATAAAAACATTGAGGCACAAATACAATAGGGTGGTACTAAGTAGTGACGTGCGGGGGTTTGGACTGAACACAGGTCACCGAATTAGGCCAAGCCGACACAAAACGATTACCGACAACCGCTACAACTGATTGGACTGAGCAGAGGGGGATGTGCCAGTTTTGCACAGGCTTGTGTGAACTCAGGAGAACTGAGGGCACACCAGGTCCCCCCACATCACTAGTACCCTGGTGGGTAATATCAGTTCAAGTCATAGCCTTGCATTGGTAGAAGGAAGAATAAAGCACAGCCTCCTGTCACCATGTAGGAAGTAGAACCTGCCTCTGTAATGAGCACATGTGGCTGCCCCCATGTATATATAAACCTGCATCCAAACAAGGGTCCTCAATCATTAACATACACCGAAAATGTTATTTTTTATTTTCCATGCAGCTGCTGTACCCAATCATAACACAGAGGTGTCACTCACCCACATGTCTGCTGCAGCAGCCCCAAGGCTGCCCCCCGCACCGCACCATTCATGTCTCCCGGTACTCAGAGCCCACACTTGCAAGGTCACGTGGGATAAACCAACTCACTAGCCGGCGCGGGGGATGAGATCCAACACATCACTATCACAGGAACGCGCCTGAAAAAATTCTTAGAGTACATAAAAACCCTGTCTGATATTTTGTTCATATTATATGAAAATGATAAACAAATACCAAATGCTACTTCCTAAGAAATAATTTTCAAAATTAAATCACCCCCAAAAATAAATAGACTGTCTCAACTCTCAGCGATGAGCAATGTGTACCAAACTAAAGGGGGTGCAACAAAACAAATATAGTGGCATACCCATTTTAAGCGGAAAATAAATGCATTTCCGTCTATCTGAACGCTACAAACACAGGTTCTTCTTAAGTTTTGAAGTATAGTGCGCAGTTTGCAGCTCGCAGGAAATGGTATAGTTTTGTCCACCCCCTACAGATATATTGGTTGTGTCCTCCATCCAGAGCTGTCGCGGAGCAGTGACGTCACCTGGCAATATGGCGGCGCCTGTAAGGAGGTTGATGCTGGGCGTGCTGTCATGCAGGGCACATGTACTGCGAGTGTCAGGGGGCCGGGGACTGGCGTCTGCGACGAGCTCTCAATGGCTGCTGCACGGGGCTGTGTGTCTCAAGAGGCCGGCTGTGCTGTCACCCTCGAAGGTTCCTCTGCAGCAGGAGATGGCAGATCTGCTGCATCAGGTACAGCCAGGTGACCTGTGTGTCCTCAGCCTTCCTTCTCCTGATAGAGAGTGGGGAGTGCAGATGGGCTGTTCTGGCCTGGAGATTGGAGGCCCCATGTCTGATGAAGGGGCTGAGGAGTCTGCAGAGTTCGGGCTCATGGACGTGGACATAGTATAATACTCCAATCTACACTGCACCTCTCTGCCACATGCTGACACATCCAGACAACAAACATTTGCATTTGGTGTATAATTGTATGTATGCATGCAAACTAGTTCTGTTGGCTGGAATATTCATGTATTCTAGCCGCCAGAATGAATGTGTTTACATGCGTTCATGTGTAAATTATACCAGTGGGCTCCTCACCAAATCCAGAATTGGGGCTTCTATGTCCCTGAGCGCTGCTCTAAAATACGAATCTAAATGCCATACTGAGCATTGGCTGAAATAGAGCTGCGTTCACAAGCATTAAAAATGCATTTAAGGCCTCATTCACCGGGTTTGTTGCCCCGTACAGTGCAAAGGGCCGATTGTTGTTGATGCAGCTGAAGCTACTGGAAGAGGTGTGCTCAAGTAATTCAATGGTAACCCAGGAGCTGTGCACCCTCACATAATGCTTTCTGCAGCTCTATGTTTTGGCAACCGCACCCAGTGTACAGCCTCAGACACAGGCACGATGGATCCAGGTCTGTGTACTGTGTGCAGTTGTCAAAAACAGCTCCTGCGTCTCAATAGAGTTAAAGGAGAACTATGAGGTAAGTGCTTTTCACTCACCTCATAGTTCTAGCCAACCTGTGACAATAAGACTGTCACAGGTTGGCTTAGTAGAACGGGAGGTGGGCGAATACATACCGGCGTTCGCTCACCTCTCAATCCATGTCACGGCTGCAGCTGAGCCTAGGGTGACGGGAGGACGCTAGTTTGTGTCCTCCCGTTACCCTAAGGAGAACTATGGGGAAAAGCCTTAACCCCATAGTTCTCATTTAAAGAGGAACTTCAAAATAACAACAAAGACACCTTTTATAAATGTTTAGTTATGACAATCTACAAACGCATACTTCTAGATCTTTGCATACGTTATTTTTCTTTTCCTTCCCCTTCCCATTCTCTAAGAGCAGGTTAATGGATTGCCCTTTACTTCCTGGAACATTGGTGCATGTGCCCGGGACATATGATCATGCACATCATGTCAGGGAAGGAAAATGCCTTTACCTGAGATCCCATGAGATTACAAATTAGGTTTCCCAACAATGCTCTGCTGATGTAACCTTTCCAGGATGCAATGCTTGGGCACAATTGCGTCATTTGTGCCTAAATGGACCAGGAAGTAGAAAAAAATAAATTGCAAGTAAAGTAAAAATATATTTGTTTAACCATTGGATAGTTACATAGTTACATAGTATTTGAGGTTGAATAAAGACACATGTCCATCAAGTCCAACCTATTGTGTGTGTGTGTGTAAAGATCCCCGAGTCATCTCGTTATTAGGAGTACTTGTCCCCCTGTATATTACCGTTTCTCAGGAAATCGTCCAAAAGCTTCTTGAACGATTCCACACTATTAGCTGAAATCACTGCTTGTGGCAACGAGTTCCAGACCCTAACCGCGCAAACTGAGAAGAATCCCCTTCGCCCCTTGTGTTTGAATTTTTTTTCTACCAGTTTCAGGTGGTGGCCTCTAGTCTTTGTTACGGAATTAATCGTAAAGAGTTTGTTGCTAATGTTGCTTTGACTATGGAACATTTTGTACATTAAAATCATGTCCCCCCTTAATCTCCTTAGTTCCAGCGTGAACATATTTAAATTTAGTAACCGTGTCTCATAGCTCTGGTCCTCCATCCCTTTGATGAGTTTGGTTGCCCTTCGCTGGACTTTCTCCAGTTCAAGGACATCCCCTCTGTGTACCGGTGCCCAAAACTGCACCGCATACTCCAGGTGAGGCCGAACCACTGATGTAAGATGATTTTATATCAGTGTGCAGAGATGTATTCTGATGTGATTTATAGTCAAATTTCCACTTTAAATGAGCTGGGTGCATCAACATCCAACCCTTTGTGCTGTATGGGGCAACACACACACACACACACACACTATATAAGGGCCCCTTCACACTGGGTCTGTGCGTTAGTTCCAGGGTTTTGTGCGATTAATGCACGGTACCACGCAATGCACCTTCCGTGTGTTATCAGTGCAGGAGGTGCATTGTGTTGCCACTCATTTGATTGCGCTGCATGCAATACTTTGTTAATTGCACCGCAATGCACGATATTGTGTTACCCTTTGTCTCGACGCGATCAATTGCATTGCAGGTGGAAGGTGCATTTGGCGGGCCTTTCAAATAAATGTCAATGCAGTGCACCCTTTGCACTGTGAACACACAGTAGGTGTGTTGCGTGATAATTGCACGGGCCCGTGCTAAGTCTTTGTGCACATGGCCGGATAATTTTTTTTTTTTTTAATGCAGTGTTCGGGTTATAGATGTGAATGCAGGTGTATTGTTTTCAATGGGGCAAAGCACACGGGTCTGTAAACATGCTCCGTGTGTTCTGATCCATAACACAGAATCAAAAAAATCTACATCTGAGGACAATATTTTATGCGTGTTTGCGTGTAAACACATTTATCTGTATGCTCTCATACGTGTAAGTGTGTAAATGAAGTCCAAACAAGAAAATGAAAACCGAGCAGGTGGAATGGAAGGAGAATTTTATGCATCTAAACACAAGCATTTTACTGATTATTAACCTGGAATGTTGTGGACAGCAAAAAAAAAAAAAAATGGGTATATGGTCAGTAATTTTTTACAGCCGTGAACATGTAGCCTAGAAGCACTAGGCATACCATAATTGTGTTTATTTTTAAAATAGGGATGCACCGATACCGAGTACTCGCCCAAATGCTCCCATACTCACCCCCCGGTACCGTAACTTCCAGTCAGAGGGAGATGTACTCTGGGCGGCAGGGCCGCGAGAGAACATGGAGCCAATCATTAAGTTGGGCGGTAGGTAATGATCCGCTTCCTGGCCAAGCAGCACGCTGCCAGCTTCCCGGCCAATCAGGAAGCCGGCTCCATGATCCCGGAAGTATCGGCGAGTACCGAAAGATAATTATTGTATCGGTGCATCTCTACATTTAAATGTCTCTAATTATTTACTCTTGTATTATGGCGCTGTAAGTAATTGTTTATTTAATTTGCAGATTGAGCAGGAGAAAAGTTTGTATTCGGATCATGAGATTAAGGTTATAGAAGATACAATACGCATGCAGAGGAAACGGTCTGATGATGCTGATTTTGACTCTGATAGCAAGGACATTGTGATGACACAAGATCTGGAAGACATGTGGGAGCAGAAGTGGAAATCCTTCAAGCCTGCTCCAAGAATAACTGGTATAAAGTTAAACCTCACCTGTGTTTTCACAATACATACCACTGATCCATGAATGCACAATGCCACTTAATGCACACTGTTGCTGTACATGAGCAGCTTCCCAGTTTAAATCTTTAAAGGTTTTGGAGGGTAGCATGATCCGGACATGTCACAGATAAGGGTCATTTAGAGGCCTGCTTTGCACAATAATTGTGTTCATATTTAATCATATTTCCTGTTTTACTTTTGTTGTCCTATGCCAGATTTTAGCTTGATTGGTTCCAGTATTATAATATACAGATGGGTCCATGATGTTTAATGCATCACCTCTAGTAGATTTGGTTCTTTTAGTATTGGATAAATACAATGTGATAGCAGCCAGAATCCTATCCAATTGCTATGCCTTTTATGTTTTGCAGAAGCAGATAAGAAGAATGACAGGTCATCATTAAATAGGAAACTAGAAAATAACCTGGTCCTGCTGGTAAAGGAGAGATTTGGAAATGAAGATGTATGGCTGTTACCTCAGATTGCATGGCAGGCTGGGGAGACTATGAGGCAGACAGCTGAGCGAGCTTTGTCTTCATTGTCAGGTAAAGTGGTTCCAAATTTTAGCTCGGCGCTGACAAATAATTACACCAAAGTGAAGCTGTTTTTAATTGTGGTATTAAATGTTTTCGCTTTTTCCTAGCTAATGTATAGAACTCTTGAATTGATAGCATGAGCCTTCCCCTGCTCTTTACATTGTATGCCCCAATGTGCCCGTGTGCATGAGTGAAAATTGTGGTGTAACCAACCATCTCATCCTTTCGTTTCACAATCTACTAATCTAGAAAAAAAGGCATTTGTATAGGATGAAAACAGACACAAGTCCATGGAGTTACAGCACTGGAAGAATACATTGAAAACCTCATACAGAACCACATACATACAGTTAATCCAGAACAAGGCTAAAAAACCCACGGTACAAAACTCAGGCCCACTAATCATTATATGAGTGTCCTGGTGTCCTGTGTGTGAGGACACTATATAGGTGTGAGCAGTCCTTGTCTTTTAAATGGACAGGGACTGCTCACACTTGTAGTGCCCTCACACACGGTCAGACCCGTATACACAAAGTGGGACTTAGCAGAGCCGCTGAGACCAGAGGCAAAGAGAAACCTGCGACTGAGGAGGGAGGTACGGGGTCCTCAGAGGGCAGCCAACTTAAAACCATAAATAAATGATTCCTGCTTGCAGCGCTACAAAGCTCGGGACTGGTGAGCCTAAAAATAACTTGTTAGGGTTTCTTGGCTTCTTGATAAACATTTCTACTTGTCTGGCTTTGTAATGTTAGGAGGGACTGTGAGGGGGTTGTTCATTATCGTTTGCAAATTAGATTTGAGCACTGCCTGTCCTGACAATTTTAAAGGATTACAGCCCTGGCTTCTGCGTTGTATGTTAATGAGAGAAACACAGTCCTCAAATTTGAGTCCTAAAGCTGGCCATTCACACCAGATGCATTGGAGCTGCATTTCCAGTGCAGTTCCAATGCAAGACAAGGCAGTCTGCCTTGTCACGGACGCCTTGTGCCCATAGAACTAAATTAAATTTCATTTGTGAGATTTCAATAAAGTTCTAACGAAAAAAAATTCAGCACTGTGGCATTGTGTCGGGGTAAGAATTGCTCAGCGTCTGGTGTGAATGGGCCATAATAATATCTTTGTTCAACCTGCGGACTGAACGAAAATATAACATTCCTTCATCAACGCTTAGGAGTGTTGATCATGGAATTTCCCTCTGTCTTTGTGTATTCCGACAGTGGCCACTGTCCGAGTACCGCAACCGACCTTGCAGCTGCTGTTTTGTTTCACCTCCAGAATTGTATGTCTGTGAAACAAAACAGCAGCTACACCAGCGTATGGCACAGCATAGAAGAGCCAAACCCTCTGGTCAGGATTCGGCAGTGTACCTACATTTAAAGGAAAAAGATCACTCCTTTGAAGACAGTCAAGTACACATCCTAGGCAGGGAGGAGGACTGGTTTAAAAAGGTGTGAAAGAGGCCAGTTATGTAAAAATGGAGAAGCCAAGCTTCAATAGAGGGGGGGGATCTATTGTTTGCCACATACAATGCTGTTTTAACACCTCTCTCTGGGCAGGTTAATAACACCTCCTAGACTCCAATTATGCAAATTCGACCAACACCTGGTTGTGACTAACAGATTATGGGGATTGGAGCAACATACACCATATTTATTCCCAGATAATTATTTGTACAAGTCATTCTGTATTGAGAAAGCTGGTTGGATGACGAGTGAAAGGTTTTTTTATGTTTAAAATGCCGGATGGTTGCCGGCATTGGCCGGAGGATGCAGCGCGGCTCGAGGGACAAGGTAAGTAACGCTATGCTGTAATCCCGAGTGTGGCTGAAATGAATTGTCATTTTTTGGGGGGTCACAGAGAGGGCAATTGATCAAAACTGGTGCAGACAAGATCTGGAGCAGCTGTGCATGGCAACCAATCGGCTTTCATTTTCAAATCTTAACTGGCCAACCTGAAGAGAGAAGCTGATTGGTTGCCATGCACAGCTGCTCCAGCTTTTGTCTGCACCAGTTTTGATAAATTCCCCTCCTAGAGCTTTCGTTTGGTGGCATTTAATCACCACTGGGGTTGTTTAATTTTTACTATATAAAGAAGTACCAGAAATTTGCAAAAATGTTTTCCCTACATTATTTTATAAAACATTTCTTATTACCCAATCTCTTTAATAAAATCTAAAAGACGGGGTCACGTCAGATAAATAGACACCAAACATATCAAGCCTTAAAATTGCGCGCACCTGCGAAATCGCGGACAAACTACCATGCCCATAATTGATTAGGTAACACTTTAAATGGTTCTACCGCCAATCAGTTTTGTGTCAACAGTGATTGATGGCCCTAGAATTATTCACACTCGGACTGTCACTGTATTATGTGGTTTAATAGTTTTCCCGTGTAGGCGCACCTGATGTGTATTAGCGTTTGTATCGACGGGGGGGAAACTAAAATTATTTGTTTATTATTATAATATGACTTTAATTTTTAAACTTGTGGGGCGGTTTTATTTACTTTTTTATACAAATGTCATTGCTATCACATAGGGGTCACAAGCCCCTTATGTGATAGCAAAGAGGCTGTGACGTCCTTATGGAGACATCAGGGGTCTATTAGACCCCGATTGTGAACTGGGGACCCCAAAGAAGCTGATGAAGCAGAGATCTGCTTCAACAGCTTCTTCTCCAGCTATAGCAGCCAGAGAAATGAGAGGCTAAAACTGGAAGTAATACAATTCACCTCAATTCTGCATTCAGTGATCAGAGGGAGATCAGCTGGTGGAATGTGAGTTATGCTTGTAAACTTGAGTGGGCATTAATGAGTTATTAAAACCTCAGCTTTTTTTGCATATATCTACTGCTAGCAAGCAGTAGATATATGCAAAAACCTTAAAAAAAAAAAAAAAAGTTTAAAACTTACCTGCTGTCAATCCTGTCCAAAAATCGGAAAAATCTTGGGCGGCCGCAAAGCATCTTGGGGCAGTCGCATGCGCAGTTCAGATTTTCGGCCGGCAGATGAGGAGAGACACAAGGTAAGTCTATGAACGCGTGCACGCGCATGCAGACACTGTGGGACAGGAAGTGCCAGCAAGCACAGAGGAGTCAGCGCTGGATCGAAGACCCCCAGCAGCGCTGGAGGGACATTTGAAAACGATTGGAAAGAAGATCGGATTAAGAGACATCATTTAAGGTAAGTGCTTACATTAACATTGGGGGGAGGGAAAAAAAGCTACTTTGTCACTTTACTACTGTAAATGCAGTTATAAATTAAACTACATGGGGCTTAATTTGATCATAGTTGGTTTAGTCTTGTTTTAACTGTAGCCTTTTGTTCACATTTTGAATGTAAGTTGTCACTGATAGAAATGCTCTGCAGGCTGATCACGGGTCTTGAATAGTCAAGAATCTCCTGTATATTGCACAGGTAATCGCACTGAGGCTAACTTCTTAGGAAATGCTCCCTGTGGCTATTACAAGTACAAGTTTCCCAAGACAATGCGGACAGAAGACACGGTTGGAGCCAAAGTATTTTTCTTCAAAGCAATGCTAAAGAGCCAAGAACTGCAGACTTCAAAGCAAAAAGGAGAATATGTCTGGGTTAGCAAAGATGAACTGAAAGACTATTTAAAACCAGCATATCTATCTGCTGTGCAGCAGTTTGTCATAGAAATCTAATCAATCTTATGCCATATTTAAATGTAATAAAGACATTTCTTTTTTGTAATATGTTTTACTTGTCTGGTCTCTTCTGACTGTGTGAGTACTTATGACAGGATACAGACATTGGAAGGAATGCACAGAATCATGAATTACATTGTCCTTCAAAAACATTATCATACGAAGTCCTGAGATAAAATAATCCTTTGTCATTTTGAGGCATACCACATAGCTGGTGTCATGACATTGGGGTTGAAGTACTAAAGCAGTGCAGACTGTAAGCTTAGCCAAAAAAGATAAAGCTATATTCACCTCAGTCACCCAATATGCAAGAATATTTTCCCCCTTGTACACGATTGGCTAATGAAAGTGAACACCGCTTCACCTTTTTTACCAAGTTTGGTAAACATTAATCTTTCGTCATATAAATTTGTACTGAAATGGAAAATTTACAAATAGACAATGTCAACAGGAAAATCTAAAAGTGAAAACAACCAAACAGAACCTATAACTATCACTTGAGGCAGGTATGTGTTATTTGGTAACACAAGATTGGTAGTAGATAAAAGCAAGTTACATGGGACGTTATGCTCCATTTGTCAGAGTCCCACAACGTAGTCAAAGGGGTGTGAATAAAAGACAGATGCTGAGGCTGCGGATATGGGATGTGCGGGATCCTTGTCATAAATCCCGCACCTGCATTGGGGTGAAGTCAGAAATTTAACTGACTGGGGGGGGAGGGGGTGTTTCCATATAATGCTGAATGAAGAATCGAGTTAGTGGCATATGTATTCATGTCGTGTGGACAGTAGAGTATGTAGCTAACTCTGTATCCAGAGGTGATACCGCAGGAGACCCAACTACACAACAGGAGAGGTGAATGGGAAGAAGGGAGCAGCCAGAAGCAGTAAATTAAGAGAGTGAGGAACTGGGCTGTGAAGGAATGGGAGGACTATCTCATCGGTGAGGAGGCAAAAATTGGTTTAGATGATAAGATTTCAAATTTAGTCATAGTATTGTCAAGGTGTGCCATGTGTTTCTCATGAGACATTATCCAATGGACGTGGCCTTTTACATTACAAATGCTAAGGGACTTAGTCTGCCAATTCTTCACAATTTTCCTCTTAGTGGCAGTCAAAACGTGGAGTGAGAGCTTAACCACTTCAAGACCAGGTGTTTAGACCCCCTTCCTGGCCAGGCCATTTTTCAGTGTTCAGCGCTGCAGTACTTTGACTGATATTTATTCCGTCATGCAACGCTGTACTGAAATTAATTTTATACCATTTTTTGGGGACAGATAGAGCTTTATTTTGGTGGTATTTAATCACCACTGGGGGTTTTATTTTGTACTATAATTAGGAAAAATTAAAGAAAATTTTGAGAAAAAAAGTTTTTTTTAACATTATTTTAGGAAACCTTTATTACCCAGTTTTTTGGTAAAATATAAAAGTCAGGGTCACGTCGGATAAATAGACACCAAACATGTCAACCTTTAAAATTGCGCGCACCCGCGAAATCGCAGAAAACTACCATACCCAAAATTGTCCATAGGCGACACTTTAAAAGCTTTTACCGCTCATCAGTTTAGTGTTATCAGTGATTGATGGCCCTAGACTTATTGCTCTCACTGCGACGTTCGCAGCGATATGTAACATGTGCGGCGTAATGGGCGCAATCGTTTTTGCACGTATGCGCCCCCGACGCATGTTTGCATGGGTGGGAACTTAAAAACATTTTTTATTTTTTTTATTCTTTTTTATGTGTTACTTTACATTTTTTTGGGGGGGACTTACATTTTTTTTCCTTTTTTATTTTTTTTACTAAACTTTATTGCTATCACATTTGAGGCTAATAAAAACCCCCTATGTGATAGCAAAATATGTGACAGGTCCTCTTTATGGAGACATCAGGGGTCTCAAGTGGTTAAAGGACTTGTGTGGGAGGTCATCAGGTTTATAATTAAGGAGGGCAAAATACAGGTCTTTGGCTATCGTTTGGGACAGTATTGATGAGAGAAGATGTCCCAAAATTTAGAAACTAACGGGCATTGCCACCATATGTGGATAAAGGTACCAGGATCAGGACATCCTTGAAAGCAATTCAGTGAGCAATTAGAGTTGGGGGTAGCCACTCTGGCACCATGTACCATCGCGAGAGGACTTTGTCATTGATTTCTTACATATTGTACTTGCACAGCGCAAACTGGATTTGGTGTTCATCCAAGACTGCTGCCATACATCTTCATCTAGGCCTTATTCACACTGCTTAAAGTCGGCCTGTACAGATCCGTACGGCCGTATAGGGCTGTTCCTTGGAAGGACAGATGCGTGAGACAGACTTTAAGCAGTGTGAATGAGGCCTAAAGAGTGAACTGTCTCCTTGGAAGCACAAGCAACTTGAAATTGTCCTGTAGGTTTTTAGAATGTTATATCACCTCGGTAAATTTGAACAGATTTATTGGCTGAATAAAGCAAAAGTTAAGGCAGGTATAAAAAAAACAAAAAACTACCAATGCAGTTGTGCATACCTTAAATACCAGTAAATGTACAACTAGTACTAGTACATGGATGAGAACCTCCTGTTATATTTTATAGAACTGCAATCTGACTAAGGGCTTGTTCACACCCTCCAATGCGTCTAGGGCACGGTTCTGTGCCGTGAACAGACTGGATCGCATAAACAAAGCCTCCCCGTGTTCTGGGATGGGAGGGGGCATGGGGGTGCCGTTCATATCAATGGCACCGCAGGTATGTCTCCCACCCACACTGGAGCGTGTGGTACCGCAATGCCCTGTGTTCCAGTGTGAGTGCGATCACACCACACTGGAACACAGGGATCCTTTGTTTATGTGGTCCAGTGCATTAATAGCACAGAACCGTGCTCTGAACACATTCGATGGTGTGAACAGGCCCCATACCAGGAAGGGTCAGTACTAGCAATGAGTGCATGTGTTGACAGGAGGAGAGGAAAAAGCCTTAAAATGTCCAATCAGCAGGTTGGGGTTTTATTTATTTAATTATTACAGGTATTTATAGAGCGCGGACAATTTACACAACACTTTACATAGTGCACACTCATCAGTCCCTGCTCTCAAGGAGCTTACAGTCTTAGGTCCCTATCTCACATACATAGCGGGCTAATTTAGACGTGGGCTGAAGTCTTGACTAAGCTGTGCTACTGCTGAAGCAGAGGCTGAGGATCTGGTTGTGCTGTGGTTGAATCATGGAACTGGCTTCAAATAATTACTAATCCAAACAGTAAAACATTTACCCTTACAGTGGGGATACCCCCTGCGCTGCTGCAAGGGTTATGTAATTGTATGGTCTAGAGCAGTGGTCCCCAACCCCCGGGCCCGTGGACCGGTACTGGTCCGTGGATCAAATGGTACCGGGCCGCTCAAGGAACATTAAATTATTTCCATTTTATTTACTGTGGTGTATTTCTCTCGGGTTTGTCCGACTTTCCAGGACGAGAGGTTAACGGGGAGCTGAGAGACGTCACGTAAAGCCGCACCAATACCGCGCATGCGCGAAATATCGTTATCGGGGCGGTTTTAGGTGACGTCTGGAGCTGAGCGGCTTCAAGCAGCAGTGGCATTGCAGCTTTGGTAAAGAGAAGGTGTGTATCGCTCTTCTCTCTGTTCACCGCTACTTTCTCATGTTTAACAGTGCTTGGTGTACGTGTATATTGTGTTTGCTCAAATTTAACCCACAAATTAGCAACAATGAGTACGAAACAGACGTTGTTCAAAAGAAAAGGCCCAGTGAAGAGACAGAAGAAGGGCCTTCAACATCAAAGAAACATGTAACTTTTAACAGACAATACCATGAGTCCTACTTGAAATATGGATTTATCGGGACAGGTGATTCCAATCTAAAATATAAACAATCAACGTCCCCCCCTCAGCGGGCCGCGGTAAAATGATCAAACGTTGACCGGTCCATGGCGATAAAAAGGTTGGGGAGCACTGGTCTAGAGGGCTCAAATTAAACTGTATTAATCACCTGATCCTTGGTCCTGCTTCGGTTAGCACTCGCCTCTCTCCTCTCTCCTCTTACACTCCAGCTGTGTAATGTCATTCGGCATCCTCACGTCTAATGCAAGTCAACGTACCTGCATAAGATGTTATGACATTAGTGATCCTGAGACCGCAGGGGAGAAGAGGCTATGAGGACTGGTCTAGCAGCTCTGAGAAAGCCAGGATCAGGTAAGTTATTCTGAATTATTCAAGCCTTTAGACCAAAACGAGCAATTAACTCTTGAAGTGAAACCAACGGTGTTTAAAATACAGGTAGTATAAATACCAGAATCTGTCTTTATATTAGCTTTTTGTACTCCCCTCCTCATTTGCACCCTCAACTATGAGAGCTCAGCACTGTAATCCATTGTCCAGTCAGGATGTTAAATTGTATCCTTTGAAGATGAAAGATGTATATTACAATGTACAGTCTTAATGATTACTGGCGGAGGGGAAGCCAAGGAAATACTTCTACAGGAAAGCAGTAGACAGATGATCTCATCCCAGGCACTATCGTTGGCCTGGAACTTAACCACGTTGCTATATTTTTGAACACGCATGTTAAAAATCAGATTTTTTTGGCTAGAAAACTGCTTAAAACCAAACCGAACAAATAAATGAATTAGTGGACACAAACAAAATATAATACAGACATTCTTCATTTACCGACTTACCTGTTTTGCGACCACTTGCACTTACGACCGACCTTGCGTGGCAGCGGCAGTGTGACGTCTCGCCCGCGGAAGTGATGTACTCTGTTCTTCACTGCGGGTCTCGGTAAGTATTTTATTGCCCGATGTACAGTACACTGTTCAGTACTGTATTAATGCAGTACTGAATCTCAGTACGAGTCTTTAGGAAACCCGTCATAGGAGAAAAACAGATCTGGAGAGAAAATAGTGTGCCGGATCACTATAACCACAGTCTTGTTCGAGAATCTCTGGACCATTGGGTGGTCAGATATGGATCCCTGTGAATATTCCTGAGGAACCCTCAGTTGAACGAATAAACTTTCCACTCAGACATTACGGAAATAAGGAAAGTAATTACT